AAGGGAGAGACAAAAAGGACTTATTTAATCTTTTAGTGAGATTCATTAAAGAGATATCCATGTACGAAACGCAAAGCCTCAAACAGCCGTTTTATTTTCAAAAAAAAAATGAATTTCAGGTGAAACTATAAACATTCCGTTTCTTCCGTTTTCATTCAGTATAAACGTATGTATGAGGCCCGAGGAGGGACAGGGTGGAATTTGTTTACGGTGCTGACAGTAATTAAATTCCCACGAATTGCTAATTCGTTCCCTGAATTACTAATTCGTTTCTGATTATTTAAGGTGGGCATGTATCTATGTATTTTTTTTTAAAACGAGGGCATACATTTTGCCGGCGTTCGAAACCAACAGCTTTATAAGAAATCGCCCAAAGGTAATGACGAAACAACGAATCGGAAAATACCGCGGTTCCGGGGTTTCAAGAGTTCCAGAACTCCAACCTGCTATCAAATTCTTGGTTTTAGTTACAAAGATACCTGAAATCCGACCCAAAATTGATTCTCTTAATCGAATGAATTTTTTTTAGAAACTGTTGCAAAATAAAGCGTTTATATATTATGTGTGTTCAAAAGTTAAGCACTAGATTGTACAATTTGAAAATTCGGTAAGAGTATGACGAGGTGCGTACTCACGTTGTCTCAGCTGATCGTGCGATTTGAATTCGATTCAGAAAAACTGTCTCCAAAACAACAACGAAACACGCCATGATAATCACAAGTGTGAGCATCGTAAGTTTCCATTTAGTGACGGGATGCATCCTGGAGCAATACGGAAACGAGCCCAGTCTAATGTCACCGTGGATTCGGGGGTTCGAGGTGTGAGATTCTTCTTTCCCTCTCAGATTAACCCTGCGCAGCGTTTACAAAAAAAACTTTGCAACAACTCGTCAACTGCTGCACAATGTAACTTCCCTGCGCATCGTCCGTAAACGGTAGCGCCAGTATCACAACTCCAGCAGTACCACTTATCATAATTTATGCTGGCGCTACCTCCGTAAACTGCGCAGTAGACGTAGCTTGTTGCCATTTTGTGATTGGACAATGAACGACGTTCATTTGATGGTGTCTTCATATCTCCAGTGCAAGTAGCTGCAAGCGCGGTCGCAAGTAGTGCTGCTTACGCACCTGGGATCCGTCCGCACTCATTATACAATGCGTTCAGAATCATTGTAGTGACGGTCTGTTTTCATAAATGAACATCATGTAAAGAAAATAAATTTCCAATTTTCCAAATGATCTATGATGACATCATGAGATCGTTTAGACACACCTCCATAAATGCATGAAAGTGAATACGGAATTGGAGTGTTAAGTAATTCTTCCAGTCACATTATCAGTCCTTTTTAGATATTAGGGAGGTTTTTTTTTTAATTAAAACAATGATTGAAAAGAAAAACAGGGATCAATTTAATACGCATAATATGTAGATAAAATTAATAAATTTACATTCTTAAAATAATTTTTTAAAGAAAGCATGAATATAGATGAATAATATAAGTTTCTTTTTAAAGAGAGAAGTAATTCTTCCATTCCCAAAGTTTATGCACAAAATTAGTGTCCAATGAATCATTGCAGATAGCTTGCAATGTTCATTTAAATATCGAGATATAAACACAGTAGGGTTTTGTGAAATGATTTTTCTTTTCCCCTTTCTGTATCGTTATGTGAACGAAATGTGTCACAAAAAAACCTGCAGAATCTAGCCTTGTACGATGAACATCTACATGCGGCGCCCGTACGTGTACATGGTTACCGTACGTACTTGCGTACATGTACTTCAACGTTGTTAATTGACCAATCACAAAATGGCAACAAGGCTACGACTATTGCGCAGTCTCCGACAACAATTCGCCATCTTTCTTTTCATTCCCATACTCACCGCGCTCAAGGCTCGTTCATTGGCATGATTTTATTGATCGTTGAAATGTCTCATAAAATCAATTAATGTTAGTTTTAATAAACACAAATATTATTTAAGACCTTAAGAATTATTGCCTGTGCCCAAGTTAGTTCATTTATATAATTATTTTTGCTTATATTATTAAGAAAAATGCACATGACAGATCGAGTCTGATTCGCCATGGTAAATAATGTATAGCGTGTGGACGTGAACGTGCCGGCGATCGCTGCACATGACTGATGGAAACAATACATGTATTATCGTCAACGCTCTCTAAGATATACATTGCCGACCAAAGCGAAACCCTTTCCGTCGCCGTACGGCATTTCATGGACAGTGGGAAAAACATTTATTATAATTATTATTATAGGTCAGGACAGCCATCAAGTGACGATTTTTTTTCTGGTGAATTTAACCCGAATGAGACATTTTTTTTTTCATGGGGCAACATAGCCGGCCAAAGGGGATACGCACCAAGATTCGGACACTCATTCACTTTGTGTGACAACTAAAACTCTTCATTTGTTTACGGTGGGCTCACTGCGCATCAATATAAATTTCAGCATGCAAATACAAACTTGTTCGTTTATTCAGCATCGCTAAAGTTTTGGAAGACACAGCCTTCACCATTACCTCCCTTGGCCTACCATTCCTGTACATACATAGGAAATGGAACAACTGTTATTATATTGGTGGGCTTCAGCTTCATGGAAATGTTATGACTCGACCAGGCACAGTTCATGTGCTTCGGTTTGCTAGTGACAATGTGCGATTTCATTCGTACGACTCTAATTTCTTCGTTTCAGGACTTGAGGCCATAGAACTTGGTGATTTTATTTATGTTATGGGAGGTTACGAGGCCAAATCTTCGGAAGGCAAGGCAGAACCATCATCAACAATGGCACGTATACACACCCCTCTCTGTTTAAAGGACATTCACGGGTCGAGAGAGATGCAACACTTGTGTTTACACCATGTTACGCAGCCAAGACAGGACTTCGAGAAATGCTGATTTTACATGTAAGCCAAAGGGCTGTATGGAAGTTTGTAGCTGCAAGGCCACCAGTTAATGAAGATGAGCCTGAACCAACTGCTGTAGTGGAGGAAATGGCCATCGCACAAGAAACAAACAATGAACCAACTGCTGTAGTGGAGGAAATGGCCATCGCGCAAGAAACAAACAATGATGATGATGACACCCTTGTAAATCTTGAGCACTGAACATTCATCAGAATCTGAATTGACGACGATGACGATGATCCCCTATTTTGTAATGTGGACTCGTGTACTTTAAACGACTTGCCAACTCCTCAGAAACAAAAACTTAAGTGGCTTCAATTCATTAAATGTCAGGACTGGTATCATGAAAGGTGTATGAAAACCTAAATGTGCGAACTTTGTAATTGACTGCATACGAAAAAGAAACGGTAAGGCCAAACAAAATAAATGGTGTGTTGGCCCTTGGCGGTAACAACTTAAAAACTAGAAATGTGTTTGTGGACAAACACAAGCTGTTTCGGATATTTGAAATATTCTGTGCATATGATGAACACTTGATGACGTCACTTTAAATGTTATCTATAACACAGCACATTATACGTACATATCAAGTTACGTACAGCCAAATCGAACATATAGACCTTTAATAGAAAAAAATATATGCCCCTTTAATGGCCGTCACATGACATGTGGTGACGTCACTTCAACTTTCATCTGTAATACATCCCTGTATATGTGCATTATCCACCCAATCGGACTTGTACTTCAGAAGTGATATTTCCGCCATGACGGACGCTTTGACCCGAAAGCAATAACCTCCGCCATGACGATGGTGGCAAAGTTGATTATGCTTGCCAGGTTTTTTTTTCATTTGATCTTTCAATAGGGGAAAAATGTTCAAACCTTTCTCACAGTCCCTTGAAGGTTTTTCTTTTCTTTTAAAAGTTGCATTGACGTTGCAAGCATCCTGTACTCAATATTAACAATTAGCAAACCACTGCAGTCATGCTTTACGCCAATTCCGGTGTAGTTTCGTGTTAATTGAAAAGAAAAACTATTCATGCTTTACACCGGCTGTGCATGATTTTCCTTATAAAAACTTTGTAGACCGATAAATTATTGCCTATTATTGCCCCAAACTTGCCATCTACCGATCATAACCATAAAGATACATTTGGTCTTTTAGTGTTTTATATTTGCCATTCCTTGTAACAAACAAAATACACTGCAAATCGAGAGCCACATCGTTTGGTGAGTTAAAACTATATGAATATTTGTCCGCTTCCAGAAATTCGTCCGCTTCCAGGGGAACTATTTGTTTTTACTTAAACCCCCCCAAAAAACTTTCGGGTTTTATATGTTTCAGTATACTACTAGTATATTTCATCACAGTGCATCCAGAATCCAACTTTTTCCGGGGCCTTAAAGCGGGCCCCTGGCCCTGTGGCCCCACGCCGTAAGGGCTCAGAAAATAAAACAAAACATACACGACGGCATTCACTAAATGTAAGAAAGCAGTCTTGCAACAATAATATTTACATGCGATGTCATTCGTAATCATACATATAAAATCTTTTTCCAGAATTAAATGGAACCAAAAATGGAGATAAAAATACAGGGTTCTCCACTTTTCAGTACAGTTAAACGTTTTAAGAGGAACAGAATATTCTAAACAAAATAATATAATAAATAATTTTTATAATTTCAAAAAACTTTTGCTAAAAAAGTCAAAGGAAAGAGGCCAAGAATCGCCTCAGATTGCACCACAGAGTATCCATATTCCAAATTGACCCAAAACGTAAGGGCTTTGCGGTCCGCTTCCGTATTAATTCTGTCCGTCCTTTATAAATTCCAGCACCCCCTGACAAGTTTATTCCAGCGGCAGTGCCCCTCCCCATATGCGTTCGACGTCATCATCTGCATGCGGTTGCGCTATAGTGGTCTAGTAATTAGTGTCTGACGAGTCTAAAGTCAATCAGACATATGAAAGTGCCAGTAGGCATATTTTTCGGAAAAATATTTTATTTCCCTCAAAAAGCGTCAGGCACGAGCATGACCGTAACGAGGGGAGCTGGGCGCTGATGACTGCCTTGGTGTTAATTTTGTCTGAATTCCTAGCCCGTAGTATGGCTGGCGCCCTCTATCAAGACAGAAGGTGCATTGACCCCGATCTCAGAATGGAGCCTGTTGGATGGAATGGTATCGCGGCTCTAGAAAGCGTTTGGCCGTGCTGCATCAACAAGGTGCACCAGACTATTAGCTACACGGTAAGAATGCTGCACGGTACTTAATAGAATAGAGACAATTTTTTGTGTATTTTTATTCGAATATGTACATTTGCGCGTAGGTTTGTGATTTTATAAGTCAATATATTAGGTGTGATATGGTGGCGAATTTCGATGAATATGTGAACCGAAGTGGGGGGAGCTCGAGTCGCGAGACGTGCTACTGGCTAGCATGGCTGGCTAGCTACTGATTAGGCCAATGTACATGTACATGTACATCATCACATGGTGTACTGAGTGTGAGCATGCTGAGTGCAGTGGAGCACTGCAACGGAAAGATTCCCATGTCTGGACGTCACTTGTCCTGCTTGTCACCCTGTCTGTGCACAAACCAGTTGTATGAGACTGGTCTTAAAATTTGTAAATTTGTGTTTTCTCAGTAAAGTTCAATATTTTCCCAGCTTGTACATGTACTTCTAAGTTCTAGTGCCAAATTTGACTTTTTAGTTTTTAGGACATTTTATCACTTTCTGATGGCTGATAGGTCATTGAAGGGAAGAATTAGGGATAGGCCTTTACCAAGAATTAGTGATGGGCAGATATGGGAATCTTTCTGTGTTTAGAAAACTGACATAGTTGGGACTAGATTACTTGGAAAAGCCATACTCCAGCCCACCCGTGTGTGAACGAGTGAGTGTGCAACGGTAAAGAGATAAATATTGTATTTGGGTACAATTGTATTTTTTTCTGGATTAATTTTAAAAAAACAAGTGGTGCTACCCCCAAATAGTACAAAGTGCATTAAATGATATTTTGTTTGAGTAAACATGGAAACTGGGAAATGTTGCGTACTTGCATGTAATATAAAGCAAGAGAATTTCCCTTCCCCATGATGTGCAGCTTGGAAATAATACTGTGTTTTAAAGGGAATCTACATCATTGGCTTTTGCTGTAATTTTCAGAAATGAACTATTTGAGAGGTTAGTATAATAGATCAAATATTGCTACACTGACATTTTTAAAGTTTTGTGTTCGAAAAGGTTGGAAAAACCAAGAAAAACTAAATTGTTCAAGTAGTCTGGTTCCCTGACTCCACAAAAGATAAAATGGATCAGTTTATAGATGATGGAAAATTGTAAGGTAAGGGAACCAGTCCAGCTGGCCTGCACCTGTTCGTGGACATGTAACCAATAGCAAACAGAATTTGGAATGAAAAAATGGTAAATTTGGAGCAGTAGTTGAATAATAGTTAGGTTTTTCCAACGCTGGTCGGCCGACCACCTTTGGAAATGTTTACAAAAATACCATTTTCTTGAAAATGACTTCACACCAGGTGCCATAATTTTACAAGATGCTTGAGACTGTCATTTACCAACATCCTAGTAAGGTATTTCGTAAAAACTTGGTAGTTTTATTTTTCGATGTTTGCAAATGTTGTATATTCCCTTTAAAGAACTGGGGAAAAAATGCCTTTTATTGCAATTACACAGAAATTGTTTGATATATTGTTTACTAATACTTTGGAGTGAGGGTTGACTAGTTAATGGAAGACAGAGTCAAAGGAATAACTAAGGGGTGGTGGGAGGGGGAATGCCTTTTAAGTTCTATTTGATTACTATGCCCTGTGGGCGTATCCGCCATCCCATTGAATATCTTGTATTAAATAAAGGAACATGTTAAGTGCCTTCCAGTGTACCCCCTCCCATTTAAAAATTGTACTCCTCAGCAGTTTAACTCTAGTTATGCCTATGCATGGAGAAAATAATAAACTTGAGGCACAATGACATGATAAAGCTTTAATTATAAACGGGCAATTCTTGTTAATTTACATAGTAGTGTTGGAAAATTGGGAAAATAAAGTCCCTTTGCCCGGCCTGAAATATTGTACTTCTACGGCTTGTCATGTTGATGGGGTCAATCATGTGTATCATGTATAATGTGTATTATGTACACATACATGTACATGGTCAGTACATGTACATGTTCATGTAAATGCATTTACGTGTAAGTAGGTGTACACCTTCACAGTCAAACCTCAAGGGAACAGGCTCAAAATTTGACAGAAGCAGAGTTTTGAGTTGAGCAGGGTTGCGTATCATTATTATACTCTTGGGGGCAATGGACTCAAATTTGTTTGAGTAAACAGTCGTTTTGAGTTATCGGAGTTTGACTTATGGGGATGTCACTGTACTTTGAAGTGCGCTTTTTTATCATAATGGAAAAGTGTGTGTGGGGGGGGGGAGAGCAGATGATTCAATGGCCCATCCCCCTGGTAAAAAAGGGGGGGGGGGATCCCCCATTTACGCCCCCGATGGTGTAAATGGTTACATGTACATAATACACAGTATGGAGTCTTGCTTTGGTCATTGATGTTTAAAGTTCTAATTTAAGGGTGGGGAACGGGACTTGCAAATATAGAGAAAGACATGTTTGAAACAAAAGAGTATTTCTCATTGAAAAAAAAAACAACTTAGTTAGGTTATTATACAATGTATGTTTTCTTTTTTCTTCAGAAAATGGTGAAGTTCACGAAAGCCGAGAGCCCTCTGCGACGATGCCGTCTGCAAGATGGAGATCCTTTTCCATCATTGTCTGTGTTTTGTTTGCAGTACGTTTGTCATTCCCCTCCTGAGTCATGGTCCATTCGTCACTTGTCACCATCTCCCATTTCCATCTCCTCTTCGCAAATAGTTCCGAGGTTGGTACCTCCTCGGGGACGTCGTCTGTCCATGACTGCTGGACAGTGCGCAAACCAGTTGATTCACAGTGACGTGATTGTACTAGATGCAGTGTCATCAGAACAGATGAGGCAGCGTCCTCTCTGTTCAGGTACAAGGGCCAGCGTACCCGTCAATTGGGTGGATTCTGAGAAAAGGTGCAAACAGTCGGATAAACAGTCAGAAAACAGTCGGGATAAAGAGTATGAACAGAGCATGGCAAAACAGTCTAAAGGAATCAAGCAGTGTCTTGAGAGATATATGAGTTCTATGGCCAGCGTGCCTGTTAACAGCTTGGCTGGAGACTATGAACAGAGTGTGGTGATACCAGTTGGACATTTGAAGAACCTGAACTGTGGTACAAGAGCAAAGGTATGTGAACTGAGACGAAGAAGAATTCACAAGCTGACCAGGAAGAGGGTTTGTAATCAGCGAGCTATGAAATGGCTGAGTAGTTTGCTAAAGAAGAAGCCCTGTGCTAGAGGTAACACTGGAAAAGTTGTATGTGATGGGTCTGGCAAGGGATCAAGAAAGAAGCAGGTAAAAGTCAGTAGAAAGAAAGTTAGAAGAGAAATCTGCAAAGAATCGTACAATAGAAGGAGAAGTGGGAAAGTGATTGAATTGTGGTTGAGCAAGGAAGAAAGGCAAGTCCATGAAAAGGTTCAGAAGAAAATATTCTGCCAAACAAAACGAAGTGTTTCGCTAATCATAAAGAAGATGCAGGTTGTGAGAAATGGAGAAAAAAAAAGTATGAAAAGGAAGACAAGTGGAATTTGTATGACAAATGTAAAGGGGTGTGTCAATCACAGTGATACCTTCAGACAAAAGGAAATGAATGTAAGCATGTCAAAAAAGGCAAAAGTAATGAACTCAGAAGTACATGATGGAAATAAGGAGAGGGTATGTAAAAGAAGGACAATGCAGATTACACACATTGATCATGATAAACAGTGCTGGTTGTGTGATGAGAAGATTGATTCAGCTGACAATAAAGTGCAATGTGATGGCTGTAGCCTTTGGTATCATGTCAAGTGTATGAATTTCTTGAAGATGGAACAGTTGTTGGCAAACAAATCAGTGACATGGGTGTGTCTAAAATGTGGTAAGAGCACTTACTCTCAGTCTCTTTTGTATGATCTTGGTATTCCAACAGATGACAATATGTTTGATTTGACAGTTCAGGAGACATGCACCAGTGATGATGTGGTCAATCAGAGCCCTGTGAGAGGAATGTGCACAAAGGACAGCATCCAGGACAATGAAACAAAAATCGTAAGTGATACAAAACGAAAGGAACAAAGTACAGGTTGTATGATAGAAGTGTTGTTGCCAAAGCAGACAGGTGGTTACTCACTAAGGAGCAAAAAAGGCCAGTCTCCAAAAGTAGATGATGCAGGTGAAAATAAAACAAAGACCTCCAAAACTGTTGGAAGAGGAAGTAGAAAATGTAGAAGAAATGAAAAGTTTGAAGACGGTGTTGGCCTAGACAGTAATACTGATAAGCAAGGTTGTGAATTGAAGAATATTCAAGGAGATGATGATATGAGATCTGAAACCAGACAGAAAAGATCCTATGTAGTTGGAAACAGGAAACGGCAGCTGTCACCTATCACTGAAAGCTGTGAAATGAAATATAAAGAAAAGAAGGTGGTACATGAAATGGTAGAGGAGCATGATGTCAAAAGTAAAATGCCACATGCAATGTGCAAGTCAGTGAGTAGCAAACAGAAAGAAATAAGTCATGAGAGTATAGATGGTAGTAGACAAAGGAGTTGCAGTGATATTGCAGGAGTTGGGAACCATAATAGATTGGCAACAAAGACTATACAGGGAAGCTATCATCAAGGTCATCATAGATTTGGATGGAGTTCAGGGAAACAATGCATTCCGAACAGTCTGTGTTGTGTCTTGTACAGTAAAGTCAAGCAGTTGAAAGACTGGTGTCGTAGTGATGTTGATACTGCACTGAATACTGGAAATGAGTTATACAGACATTTATCTCGGAGTTCTACAATGAATAATCAATACTTGTTGATAAATGAATTGCCAAATGAATTGGATTTGCTCAATCATCATTTCAGTATGAGGTTTCATGATCCTGTATGTGGTACATTAGGAGAAGAGTGTAATGCAGCTGAATTTCACATGGTGCCCATGAATCGTGCCTTAGAACAGACTCTTCAGCAGTACTATGCATGTTTCATAACCTTCCATGGAAATACATTTGTTGCAATTGCTGAAGATGGGATGTATTATATCTTTGATTCTCACTCTAGAAATCAGCAAGGTTGCCAGGTCAGTGAAGGACGGAGTTTGTTGAAACGTGTCGCTACATGGCAAGATGTACACAGGTATTGTACAGATTTGGCAAGATCTATGTGTTTGTCTAATAATGAGCAGTTTGAAATTACAGGTGTATCTGTGTGGCTGGATGATGAGGCAAGGCAAGATGCTGATGATAGTAAAGAGGAGACAGAGCAATTGTTATTTGGAAGAAGTGATCACAGTAAAGGAGAAGGCAGTGAAGGAAGTAGTGGTTCTAGAGAAGTTCCTGGTTCTTGTAGCAGTTTGCCAAGTACATGTAGTGATCTTCCAAATAAGAAGAAGGAAGGTCAGAAACCTAGTTTCAATGAAATGAGTTGTAATAAAGTTGATAATGGTAGTGATGTTGAAATCAAGGAAGTGAGACAAATTCAAGGTTTTAAGTTTGTTCCTCTGACATATGCTAGCAAGAATGGACTGTGCAGAAAGCATGGAATAGGCCAAATATCTCTGGATCGTAATGAGGTGTCAGATACATGTGAAGAGATGGGAAAACCTGATTCAGTGAAGAAAATTAAAGGTGATGGAAACTGCTTTTTCCGGGCGATATCATTTGCTGTGTCAGGAACTGAAGAAAATCATGTGCAGTTAAGAATGGCTACTGTCAATCACTTGTTAAAAAATGGAGATAAATTCAATGGTTTTCTGCGACAAGGGTTTGTTAATGTGGAAGAATATGTCATAAGGCAAAGAATGTTTGACTCTGGAGTGTGGGCTACAGAGGTTGAAATCATGGCAATGGCACACATGCTGGGTACGGACATATATACATTTGAAGATGGAAATAAGTGGTATGTTTTCCATGCCAGCACCTTTGAGAGAGAGGCTGTAACATTAGATGAGGCAATTTACTTGTACCATAGACATAGAATTCACTATGATGTTGTATTGACAGTTCAAGCAAGAAGGCAATCTGATAATGGACTACAAAAAGTAACAGGTAATAAACAAGTAGAATGTGTAAAACATGCTACCTCCAGTAAATCAGAAAAGCATTTGAAGTGTAAAAGGCGTAAGCGAGCAAATACAAAGTTACAACAAATGAAGAAAAGAGAAAAAGCTAAGGAAAGATATGCAGAGAAGATGAACAAAGTGACAATGGATAGGGAACTGCATAAACATAACAAATCTATTGATCGAACAACATGTAGGCCAAAAGATTTAAAGACATTGGATGAGAAATTGAAAAGTGAAAAGAATAGGATTTATAATCAAAAGGAAAGGAAAAAGAAGTATGACCAGAAGTACTACCAGAATAATGCAGACAAAAAGAAAGAATTGGGTAAAACAAAGTACAAAAGTGACATAGACTTTAAATCACGTCAATTAAAGCACCAAAAAAGAAACTATAATGATGAGACACATAGGAAAGGTGTCTTAAAGCGTGAACAAGAAAAATATTGTAGCAATCCTGAATACAAAGAAAAGAAAATAAACAGTGGGAAAAAGAAATATCTAGGTAATATTGAATATAGAGAGAGACTTATCAATAAGGGGAAAAGCAAATATTTCAATGATGCTGAATACAGAGAGAAGCTTATCAATAAGGGGAAAACCAAATATTGTCATAATCCTGAGTACAGAGAGAAGCTTATCAATAAGGGGAAAAGAAAATACCGATGTATTAGTTCTTATAGAGCAAATTTAATAAAGTATGGAAAGAAAAAATATAAATCAAATAGTGAATATCGTAAAAGGATGGCAGAAATGAATAACAGGCGTGCAATAATTAACAAAGAGAAAAAACGGAAAATTTGTTTTGTTACGAAGAAATTTAAAGAAAGCATATCTAAAGGACCTGAGTATGTGTGTGCTTGCTGTTATAAACTGCTGTTTCAGAGGCAAGTTATCAAGTGTAACAGAGATAAATACATAGATCAGACTTACATTTCTGAGAAATATCTTCATACTTGTGGTGATCATTGTGAATCCAAGTGTATGATTGCAGAATCAAGCAGATCATGTTTATGGATATGTTATACCTGTCACAGGAAATTACTTGTTAATAAAGTCCCTGCTGAAGCTAATGCGAATAATTTAAACCTGATGGACATCCCCGAGGAATTAGCATGTTTGAATACGTTAGAGGAGCATCTAATTGCAATAAATGTACCGTTCATGAAAATGATTGCATTGCCTAAAGGAGGACAACATGGTGTACGAGGTCCAGTTGTATGTGTACCATCAAATATAACAGACACAGTGAAAGCATTGCCAAGGCCTCAAAGTGATGATCAGATGATCCGAGTCAAGTTGAAGAGGAAATTGACTTATAAAGGATATTATCAATATCAGTTTGTGAGTAAAGAAAATGTAAAGAATGCATTACGATATCTTCAACGTAATAATAAATGGTTCAGTGACATTGAAATAAATGCTGATTGGGACAATCCATTGTGTGAAGATGATAATGAAATTGATCAGTCTGTACATGATGTGAAAGAAGAAGCCAATAATGAAAGTGATAACAGTGATGAGGAAACTGATGACGATCGTTTACGAGGCATTGCATTAGACACTTGTCTTCAGCCAACTAACGTAGGACAGGAAATACTTGATCAGTATTTTGATGAAGTGCTGTGTGTGGCTCCATGTGAAGGCAATAGTCCAATTAGAGTGTTAATGGAAAAGGGTAATGAAGCCAAATGCTTTCCAGCATTATTTCCATCAGGTCAACCTATTTTTGATGATGATCGTGAAATGAAATTGACACTTTGCCGATATTTCCATAACCGCTTAATGAATGTTGATAATAGATTTGCAATGTGTACTCAATATATCTTTTATGCTCAGTATTTGTCAGAGATTCAGAGAGTTATGTCTAGTGTTTCTATTGCATTGCGAAAAGGATCTGATAAAAAGTATAATGGTGACAGTGTGAATGCCTCCATGATCAATGACAGGGATCAGTTACAAGATATGTTGAAGTCAGATAGTGGATACAAATTTCTCAAACCTATTCGTGGAACACCCCCATACTGGCAAGCAGCACAGAAGGATGTTTTGGCTATGATCAGGCAGTTAGGAATACCAACATGGTTTTGTTCATTTTCTGCAGCAGATATGCGGTGGCCTGAGGTAATCAATACAATTTTAAGACAGCAAGGTGATTCTAGAGATGTAGAAGGTTTGGACTGGAATGAGAAATGTATCATATTGCGAAGTAATCCTGTAACTGCTGCGAGAATGTTTGATCAGCGATTCCATACGTTTCTGAGAGATGTTATACTGTCCAGAGCTGAACCGATAGGAAAAGTCATAGACTATTTTTACAGAGTAGAATTTCAACAAAGAGGGTCGCCACATACACATTGTCTTTTCTGGATTGAAAATGCACCAAAGTTGGGAGATGGTAGTAAAAGAGAGGTTGTACAGTTTGTTGACAAATATATAAGTTGTGAATTACCATCAAAGGACAAGGATGAATTATTACATGAAATTATAAGTCACGTACAGTTGCACAGCAGAAAGCATTCCAAGTCATGCAAAAAGAAGGGTACTGAGTGTAGGTTCAATTTCCCAAGACCTCCATCTGAGCGAACATTCATTACTGAGCCCATGCCAACAGACGATGAGGATCAAACTAATGGTGAAAGCAGTGAAAGAAATGAGGCTAAGGAATTGCTGCAATCAATATGGACCGCAATACAGAAAACTGAGAATGAACACATGACAACCAATGAATTGTTTGCAAGTATAAATTTGACACAAAGTGATTTTGAAAAAGCTAATGATGTATTAAGTCACAAAACGAGTTTAGTTTATAAGAGACAACCACAGGATGTATGGGTTAATTTGTACAATCCAGATTTGATAAGATGCTGGAATGCAAACATGGATATTCAGTACATTTGTGATGCTTATGCTTGTGTTGCTTATGTGGTATCATATATGTCCAAAGCTGAACGTGAAATGGGTATGCTGTTGTCACATGCTCAGGCAGAGGCTCAGAAAGGGAATTTGGATGCAAGACAGAGCATGCGGGAAATTGGCAGTGTGTATTTGCATAACCGTGAAGTATCAGCACAAGAAGCAGTTTACCGTGTCTGTAATCTCAGATTGAAAGAAGGATCAAGGAAAGTGGAATTTATACCTGTTGGTGAAAATCCAATTAGAATGAGTAAGCCTCTGAGTGTTATTCAAAGTACATGTGATGAAGATGATAATATTTGGATGACTAGTAGAGTTGATAGGTACCTAGCAAGACCAAATACTGACAAATTTGAAACAATGTGCTTGGCAACATTTTGCTCAGATTATAGAGTTATATACACAAACATGGCTAAAACAACTCGTTCACCAGTATATGAATTGAAGAATGGTTTAGGCCACATACAGAAACGAAGTCGAACTGATCCAGCTGTTATACGGTTTCCTAGATTTTCATTAGCAAAATGTCCTGAAAAGTACTACCAGAGCATACTGCAGTTGTACCTTCCATATCGTGTTGATGCCCAGCTAAAACCGGAACAGTTTGAAACATACGAGGAATTTTATAGAAATGGCATTATTAAGTTTGATGGAATGTTGAAATCTGTGAGAGTTATTGTGGAAAATAACCAGTCATTGTATGAAGCTAATGCTAAGGCAGTAGATGAAGCTGAGGAAATGCTGGAGAAGTTTGGTCCACAAGAAGATGCTTGGGCATTGATAGCTCCAGAAACTGAAAAGGACAGACTTGAATGTGAAGGACAGCAACCAGCAGAAGTGGAAGAGAGTGACAACGAGTCAGATATTCCTGATTTGAAATCCAAGAAAGATGATGATATGAAATATACTATTGAACCACACAGATTAAATGTATCCAAACAAGAAGCAATGAATTTGTTGCGGTGTCTCAATGCTAAACAAAAACAGGTGTTTTACAAAGTCAGACAATGGTGTTTGGATAAAGTGAATGGTAAAAATCCTGAACCGTTTCATGTATTTGTCACTGGTGGAGCAGGCACAGGCAAAAGCCATTTGATTAAATGCATTTATTACGAGGCAACAAGACTTTTTGGAATAATGGTAGAAAATCCAGACGACA